GACATATAACCCATGCCCCAAATAGACGTAGTGTGATCAAGCACAGTAAAAAAGCCTGGAATGACTCATGGTTCTTAACTTTGGATTCCAGCTACACTTGAGCAGTTTGGAAACCCTGGACTTTTGGTCCACTTGTCATCAGTCCTTTCACTCTCTTGTGTCTCCTGCTAAATGACACTAAGCTTCATTCTAAGGCTAGGACCTTGAGGGCGAGGGCAGAGAAAAAGAGGAGAGAGGACAGAAGGCTGCACACTGTCCATTCACAGGATATGGTAGATGCAAAATAATTAGATTTGCTGCATTGCCCAGACTGATAATCTAACAGGCATCTCCTGAAGGTCATTATGCTAAAAGGTGTCTGTCCTTTGTTCCAGACTGTCTGGAGGAGGAGAAAGGGAGAAGGAAAAGAAAAACCAGCATATCAGTGGTGCACTCATACATATTTCAGAATGACTTATTAAATTTTTAAAAGGAATTCAGGTTAACCCTAAAGTAGCCAGAAAATTTACAGAATCAGTATTCCTCATTTTCCGAACTTTCTGATCAATCAGTATTTTAGCATACAGCTTTTCGTTTTGACTTTAAAGCCATTTTCTTTTAAACTACTGCAAAATATTGCATCCTTCCTTCTCCCCACTCAAGCACACAACCAATTGAGAGAGTCATAGGGATCAGAAAGGTAGGTATCAAGATGTCATCTTTATTACTGCAAAGCATTTGGAGAACAGCCCTTGGGGCCCTAAGGTGTGGAGCAACAACAAGCTTCCTCATGCAGCAAGACTGTGTTAAGCAGAATGGCCGACTCAGTTACCATCAGCTAGCAAACGTGATCCAGCCCCTGAAGCAGAGCTGCCTACAGTCAGATCCCAAGAAGAGTCCAGAAGGGGCTGAGATAGGCATGACTGTCATCTCCCCACCTCATCTATCCTAGGGAGGACTGTCTCTGGAAGAAGTGAGGGGGAAAGAGGCCAGGAAGTGTAACACTAGTGAGAGCTCTTCAAGACGGATATATGAGGAATAAGGAATGAGTGCTCTCCACATGATAGCCTCTTCTAAATTATAGTAAATGAAGCTATGCTATTATTAAGCTAAGTAATTATATCTAGAGAATACTGAAAGCAAAATTAGCAAGAGCTAACTAAAGATCCATCACACCAAAGTATACGTGGAAGCATTAGCCTCCATCTCAGCATAATGATGCAAGGTCTGAGGTGTGTTCCTACCAAGAAAGTGTGGATATTTACTGTTGATACCCACTGTCTTTAGAAATTAGAGCTTGTTCAAAGTTTTCACTACAACAACATTATTCTTACCACCTTATTTCAGATTTACTTTCTTGAGTGGGAGATAAAGGGGAGGGATTACATATAGGATTTCAGAAAGTCTACCTTATCTGTGAAGCATCTCATGGTAAAAGACCTTCCATGGTAGCATTAATGGTTGTGGCAATCATGAATCATTGAGATGCTTGTGAGATGTGATTTCTTTTTACAGTTGCTTCTATTTTTTTTTTTTTATTTTATATTTTAAACTAATCTTTATTGTTGACTGCATTATAGATGTCCCTCCTTTTTTCCCCCATTGACCCCCTCCTCCCTATTCCCACCTCCCCTATTGTCTGTGTCCATTGGTTATGCATGTATGCATATAAGTTCTTTGGTTTATCTCTGCCCTCCCCCCTTCCCTTTGAAGTTTGTCAGTCTATCAACCAATTTGTACTTCTTAATCCCTTCACCTTTTTCACCCATCCCCCCAACACCCCTCCCATCTGACAACCAACAAAAAGTTCTTTATATCTACAAGTCTGTTTCTGTTCTGCTGTGCATTTTGTTTGTAGATTCGATTGTTGATAGATATGTATTTATTGCCATTTTATTGTTCATATTTTTGTTCTTCTTATTCTTAAAGAAGATCCATCAACATTTCATATAATACTGGTTTGGTTAGCTTTTCCTTGTCTGGGAAATTCTTTATATGGCCAGTGATTCTAAATGATAGCTTTCCAGGATAGAGTAATCTCAGTTGTAGGTCCTTACTTTTCATCACTTTGAATATTTTTTGTCACTCCCTTCTGGTCTGAAAAGTTCATTTTGAGACATCAACTGATAGTCTTATGGGAGCTCCCTTATAGGTAACTGACTGCTTTTCTCTTGCTGTTTTTAAGATTCTGTCTTTGTCTTTAGCCTTTTGCATTTTTGATGATGATGTGTGTTGGTGTGGACCTCTTTGGGTTCACCTTGTTTGGGACTCTCTGTGCTTCCTGGGCTTGTATGTCTGTTTCCTTCACCAAGTTAGGGAAGTTTTCTGTCATTATTTTTTCAAATAGGTTTTCAATTTCTTGTTCTCTCTCTTCTTCTTCTGGCACTCCCATGATGCTAATGTTGGTATGCTTGAAGTTGTCCCAGAGGCTCCTTATACTATCCTCATTTTTTTGGATTCTTTATTCTTTTTGCTATTCTGATTGGGTGTTTTTTGCTTCCCTATATTCCAAATTGATGGTTTGTTTCTTCGTTTCACCTACTCTACTGTTGACAACCTGTAAATTTTTCTTTATTTCAGTTAGTGTATTCTTCATTTCTGACCAGTCCTTTATTATGCTCTTGAGATCCTCACTAAGGTCCTTGAAATTCTCACTAAGTTCCTTGAGCATCCATATAACCAGTGTTTTGAACTCTACATCTGTTAGATTGCTTATCTCCATTTTGTTTAGTTCTTTCCCTGGAGTTTTGTTCTGTTCTTTCATTTGGGACATGTTTCTTTATCTCCTCATTTTAGCTGCCTCCCTGTGTTTGTTTCTAAGTATTAGGTAGATTTGCTATGTCTTCTAGGCTTCATAGGGTGGCCTAGTGTATGTAGTAGGTGTCCTGTAAGGTCCAGTGGCACAGGCTCCCTGATCACCCCAGGGGGGCCCTCAAGGTGCACTCCTCCTGTGAACTATATACCCTTCTGTTGTAATTGAGTCTTGGTTGCTGTTGGCATGTCAGTTGGAGGAATTTACTCAGGCTGATCAGCTGTAAGGCCTGGCTGTGCCCACTGACTACTGACTACCTTGGAGGATCAGCTGTGCAGGAGCCCACCACACAGAGCAAGACTTACTTCAGCAGGGCTCTGGTACGAGTGTGTCACTTGTGGAGGTGGTTGGGTGGTGGTGCTTCGACATGGTCTGAAGCTGTCCACTGGGTGTGCTGGCTCTAGGGCAAGGTCAGCCACTGCCAGTTTCCTACCCAGGGCCACCAGGCAGAAGCTACAAAGTGATCTGAAGATGGCTGTTTCTTGCTTGGAGGAGCCCAGGCAAAGCCAACCTGTGAACCAAGGCTGGCTGTTTTTAGTGCCAGGCCTGGGGCCACTTAGAAAGAGGTATGGGGCTCACTGAGGCCAGATGCTGTTTGTTTGAGAGAACTTAGGATAATCTGAATCAGGAGCCAAACAGGCCAATCCTATGGTAAAGCCACTGGAAATAGTTTGGGTGGGCCTGAAAGCTGGGTGGGGCAGGGCCTCAGGGAATCACCAGGGTGGGCAAACAGTGTGAACCAGGTTTCTGGAGTCCCAGATATGGTGCCCATCTGCCAGGCCCATAGGGGAAGTACTCACCAAAGGAACAACAGCCTCTACCAGAACATCTTTCAGGAGAAAGCTGTCTCTCTAGCTCTCACCCTGATGCCAAAAAATTCAATTCTTCCCTGTATGTCTCTGGTGCCTTACAAGCTGCCTCCCCCTTGATGGAGCCTGGAGGGAGCAAGTCCGAGTAAGTGTGTCAACCCTTTAAGAGAAACTGCCTGGGGCTCCCCCAGCCTCAATTCCCACTCGTTTTTACAGCCAGAAGTGATGGGGACTTCTCTTTCTGGCACTGGAACCCGGAGTTGGGTGGCCTGGTGTGGGACCAGGACCCCTCCCTCCTTCACAGCTGAGATATCACTCCTGATTTTTATTTGCCACTCATAGGTTTTGGACCAGCCCTTCTGTGCCTCCACCCCTCCTACCAGTCTCGATGTAGCTTCTTCTTTCATTTCATAGTTATAGAACTTCCATTCTGCTGAATTTTAGGCAGTTCTGAATGATGGTTTTTCTATAATATAGTTGTAATTTTGATGTGGTTGTGGGAGGAGGTGAGTACCACATTTACCTACACTGCCATCTTGACAGGAAGGCTTCTTTTTTATTATACCCAGGGATAAATTTGATAAAGAAGGCAGGTTTTTTAAAGTATGAATATCAACATGACACATGAGCAAGAGTGACCCTACCCACACTTTTAGTTCATCATGACTGAAGAACTAATGTCAAGTAAAAAACAGAACATGTAATGAAGTTTGTGAATTTTTCAAGAACTTTTATAATATCACTATAAAAAGTTAATGAGCATATCATAATTTAAACAATAAAATAGGAGAGTTTTTGTTTTATTCTGCAGTTGTATATAGTTGCTTCTAAGGAGCTGGGATCCAGAAAAAAATTAGAATTCATTTTTAAAATAACAGTCACAATTTTAAAAAGCAGTTTAGCTATACATATTTATTTTTATTATAAAATAATCATTTTGAGATTTATTTAATATTTAATTTGCTTATAAAATGAATTTATGAATACTTTTATAAACAGAGATTCCCCCAGGCAAATGGAACTTTTTCCTTTACTTTCCTACCACCAATGTCCCAGTTTCATGAAGTTTGTTCAATTCTGAAAATATTGTGTATTATGCTTACAAATTGCTAAGAAATAAAGTGGGACACATGAGTACTCTTTTGTACCATGAAGTCAATCTCAATTCTTCTGCAATACTCATCTGCTTAGGAAAGCTTGAGGTGGGCCCAGAACAAGATTTTCCCTTAACAACAAATCAGTGACATTGCTAGGTGATTGTGACATAGGAACAGCAACCTCCAATCAAAGAGAAGCCGCAAAAGTCTGATTGTGACATGCCAGTATAAATATGAGAGCTCCCCCCATTCATAGACCCTTCTTCGCTCCACTCATAACTGTTAAGGAGGACAACATCTACAATGGCCAGATACACCAACAAAAATAATAAGTGCTCCAGAGGACGTCAAAACCCAAGCTCCAGAAAGAAATCACGTTCCTGCACCGATTTCAGCCGCAATTATTCACTCTACATTCGCAGGGTCCTAAAGGAAGTGGATCCCCAGAAGAGCATATCATCTTGCACCTTGGACATCATGAACACTGTGATCAACAACATCTTTGAGCGCATTTTGATGCAAGCCTACAATCTAATGTGTTACAGAAATCGTTGTACCCTCACCCATGAAGATATCCAGAAGGCAATGTATATGCTGTTTCCTGGGAAACGAGCTAGGTACGCAGTGACTTTTGGAAGTGAAGCTGTCCAAAGATATGTTCACTCGAAAAACAATGCACCAGCTTAATTAAATCTTGGGGAAAGTAACTCAAGCTTACTACCCAAAAGATGACATTAGTATTGAATTCACTCTTCTTTTTTTATAACATAGCTGTAGTTTCTGGTATTTTCCCTATTTCTCTTATCCCTAGAGAAGAATAACTCTCTTGCTCTTTTGCCTTTTAACAATTTGACTATTCAGATTTTCCTGACACCGGCTCCCACTCAGAACTCTAGTTTTTCCTATGAATGTGTATATCTTGTTATGTAAATTCAATGCTTTTATTGTTAAGGTATTGTTAACTATGTACAGGATGATTTAATCCAGCTATTTTTACCCCCAAGTCACACTGATTTTGAATTTACGAAGATAAATGTTTTAACCATAAGTATACCAGCACTGATAAATTTTCACCAAAAAAGTATTTTCTAGAGCAAACTACATTCAAACAATTTAGGTCCTTAATGAGGTCTATAGAGCACATTAACTATTTCCTTTTTGTCATAATTTTTATTTTCTGAATTTCAACAAGCTCAGTTCATGTAAATTTTATTTTACGTTTACCTTTATGTTTAGATTTGGTTCACTAAGATTTGTTGTTCTACATTTCAACATAAGAAGACCCAGGAACCTACCACTCAATTGCTAAAGTTTAATAACTTTCCAAATGCAACTGGAGATGTCTTCCAATCCCACCTCCCTGTCCACTATTCTGAGTTTTCTTTCCCATTCCTTTGCTTTTCTTTGTACTTTTGATTCCTATATATATGTCTCTACATAATAGGTTTAATTTTGCTTATTTTGTAACATCGAAACATGCTACATATATTGTTCTGTGTCTGCCTCTTAATCAACATTGTTTCTAAGATTTATAACTATATATATGTGTGTGTATACACACACACACACACACACACATATATGTATTTCATTCTTTTCACTCTGATGCTATGTGGTATTTTGTAATATGAACATATCACAGTTCATTTATCCATCCTCTGTTGATGGAGGTTTGGGTCGTTTTCAATTTTTTTGCTATTATGAACAATGCTGGTATAATAATGAGTTGTAACAAGGGCAAAGACTTACATAGCACTTGCTATATGCCCAGCATTTTACATAAACTAATGTATTTAATCCCTATAACAACCTTATAAGGATTACATAATTATTTCCTTCTACAAATGAAGAAAATGGGGCATACAGAAGTAACTTGTCTAAGGTCATACACCTGTGTAAGTAGCAGAGCTGGGATTTGAGCAGGTTAACACAGTTCACTGTGGACACATGCAACAAGCTGTGAACATTCTTATACATGTATCTTCTGGTACAAATGTACAAAAATTTCTCTAGGCAAAATAGATAGTGGTAGGATTGCTGGATCATTGATATGCCCATATTCAATTTCACTAGATAATACCAAACTGTCTTCCAAGTGGTTATACCAATTTACATTTGTAGTAAATGAGTAATTTAGACTCTTCCATTTACAAGGAACGTATCACTTATGTTTCCTCAAGAAAGGGGGGTTTGCTCTATGTATATACTGGGATTATATCTGAGATTATTTCTAGATGTCTCTCACTTAGGACCTACTCTCTATTTTTCCTGGGGCTGCTCATTTCTAAACCCCTCCTTCTCAGAGTTCCTGGGAATAGACCTGACAAACAGAGCTATTGGATTCCACTTACATGAAGTACCACAATAAAACATGGTTTAAAAAGTTTTTAGGTGGTCCAGCCAGTGTGGCTCAGTGGCTGAGTGTTGACCCATGCACCAAGAGGTCGCCGGTTCGATTTCCAATCAGGACACATGCCCAGGTTATGGGCCCAATCCCCAGTGGGGGGCATGCAGGAGGCGGCCAGTTGATGTTATCTCTCATTGATGTTTCTATCTCTCTCTCTCCCTCTCACTTCCTCTCTCTGTAAAAATCAATGAAGAAAAAAAAGATTTTTTCGAAGTTTTTAGGTGGGTATTTTTATACACATGCATTTATATAATCAGACTTAAAACCTTCCTATTTGAATTAGGCCCAGGGATCAGCAAATTACAACCCTTGGGCCAAATATAGAAGCAGCCCTTATTTTATAGCCCCACAAGCTAAGAAGGTTTTTTACAATTGTTTAGGGATATTTTAAAGTGAAATGAACACAAGAATATTCAACAAGCCTAATGTGGCCCACAAAGCCTAATATGTTTACTACTTGGCTCTTTATAGGAATGTTTTCAAACTCTGGCCTACCCAATGATGTTTCTTTTTTAGGGTCTGATATGGCAGGTTTTCTAAGGCTTCACTTGAGACACCCACATCTGGATAAAAACTTCACAAATATGAAGGGTTTATAGTTGGCTTTTCAAATCATTGTAGTAGGGATTTGAATACCATATACAAATGGCAGTCAACAATTGAGGTAATGGACTAACCCATTCACAAAAAAGTTTTTATTATAAATTGAGGTGTTAAAGTTGGGTGAAGGAAACTCTAGAGGGTCCTTTCAGATGTTATTCTCTCTACTTTTGTGTATGTTTTGAAATATTTTAATAGAATTTCAAAATAAGATCAAGATTCTTAGAAATAAAAACCGTGAAATTGGTATCAAGTCTGATTATATAAAAGAATGTGTATAAAAATGCCCACATTTATAAACATTAAGTTTTTGTGGGTTTTTTTGGTGCATGTCCCTAGCGGGAACTGAACCTGGGATTCTCTGGTCCACAGGCCACTGAGCCAAACTGGCCAGAGCAAAAATTCAGCTATTTTTTAGGGTGGTAAAATATATATAACATAAAACTTAACATTTTAACCATACAGTTCAGTCACATTAAGTACACATTCACATTGTTATGCAACCATCACCACCATCCATCTCTAGAACTTTACATCTTCCCAAACTAAAACTCCATAAACAATAACTAGACATTTTCCCCAACCCTTGGCAACCACCATTCTGCTTTCTGTCTCCATGGATTTGACTAAGTACTATGTGGAATCAGACAGTATTTGTCCTTTTGTGACTGGCTTATTTCACTTAGCATAAGGTTTTCAAGACTCATCCATGTTATAACATATATCAGAATTTCTTTTTAAGGCTGAATAATATTCCATTGTATGTGTATATTACATTTTGTTTATCCATTTATCTGTTGCTGAATGAATAAACTTTGGTCACTTGGGTGGCTTCTACCTTCTGGATGTTGAAAATAATGCTGCTATGAACATTAATGTACAAATGTGTCTTCGAGTCATTGCTTTCAGTTCTTTAATATGTACCCAGAAGTAGAACTTCTAGACCACATGGTAATTCTACTTTTAATTTTGGGGGACTGCCATACTGTTTTCCACAGTGGCTGTTCCATTTTACATTCCCACCAGCAATACACAAGGGTTCTAATTTCTCCACGTTCTCATCAACTCTTGTTATTTTCTGGAGATAGATAGATGATAGATAGATAGATAGATAGATAGATAGATAGATAGATAGCCATCCTAATAGATGTAAAGTAGTTTTAATTTGCCTTTCCCTAATGATTAGTGATGTTGAGCATCTTTGCATGTGTTTATTGGTCATTTGTATATTTTCTTAAGATAAATGTCTACTTAGGTTCATCCTTTGCCCACTTTTTTAATCAGTTTGCTTTTTTATAGTTATTTGAGTTCTTTATATATTCTGAATATTAATCCCCTCTCATATGAATATTTCTCTCCCACTTCATGGGATGCCTCTTCACTCTATTTATACTGTCCTTTGATACACAAAAGTTATTTGATGAAGTCCAATTAGTCTATTTTTTCTTTTGATGTCTATGCCTTTAGTGTCATGTCAATTTATACTTTTTATTCTTCCTTTATGAAAAAGTTATTTGCAATAACATTAATAATATTTTCTTTCAAATTTTAGAGTCAATAGAGTCAACATAGCTTCTAAGATTTAAAAATAGACACACTAGCTAAAACATAAGGGTCAAAATTATCTCAATGTATGCTTTTGACATCAATAGGGACATTTTACCAACTATTTTTTCAGTCTTGGGCCCTGGTAATTTGTGACAGTTAAATGAAAGTAAGACAAAAACTAGCACCCTGGCCAGTGAGGCTCAATTGGTTAGAGCCTGGTCCTATACACCAAAAGGTAGTGGGCTTGATTCCCAGTCAAGGCACATACCCAGGTTCCAGATTTGATCCCCAATTGAGGCGGGCATGGGAGGCGATCAATCAATGTTTCTTTCTTTCTTTTTCTCTCTTTCTCTCTCCCTTCCACTCTCTCTAAAAAAAAGCACACACTGGTAATAGTCTTCTAATATGTGTTTATCATTTCTTCTCAGAAATCTAACCCCCAATTTTTATCTGAGCTCATAAGCCACCCAGGACAAAGATTACACTTCCAACCCTCCTTTGATTAGTTAGGTGTGTCCATGTCACCAAGTTCCACTGAATGGAAAGGTATAGGCAACTTCTGGGAAGTGCCCTTAAATATCAGAGTGCTCTTTTCCTTTTTCTCTTTCCTGCTAACTGAAATGAGGATGTAAAATCTAGAGATGAAGCAGCCATCTTAAGCTAAGAGTTGAAACCTACATATTAAGGATGGTAGTGCAGAAAAATGAAAGAGCTTTGGTTTCTGATGATTGAACTGCCATGCAGCTCAGGACTGCATATGCTTGCATAAGAGAGAAATACATTTCTAACTTTCTTAAGCCAATTATTGATATTTTGGGTTTCTATCATTCAGAGTCAAATCTAATTCTAATATAAACATCCAGAAGATTATTGACTGCTAAAAAATGCAGTTAGTCTGAAAATGGTTGTACACTTATTAAATAAAAACATATTAATCTAGAAATAGAGGATGATGAATGTCTTGTGTATTTACCAGATGTTGCTATAAAATGAAATCTCGTGCCATTTAACAACCCTTTCTCAAAGCTGTACAATACAGATGGCAAGAGCTTGCCTATTATTAGTCTATTGGAGACAAGATGTGATTTTGAAATTTTACTTAAAATACAAAAATATGTGAGAGATTCAAAGA